TTATCCAATCCTGTAGTTGGAACAGTTGAATGTAATAGCTATGAGGAAGCTTTGCCTTTTGTGTAGCCTCCTGCACGTGCTGAAATTGCAGGGAAATGACACTGAATGGAGTTCTGCAGTTGAAGGAAGCCTTTCTTTTTTCTAAAATGAGAACAGTTTGCACAAGTGGCAGTCAGAGGCCAAGCAATCACCGTGCAGAAACAATACTTTGTGCTCTATTTATGTGTGCAAAACAGGCCAGAAGAACTACTGGCGTGTGCTGAAATACTGGTGCAGGAAATCCACCATTCCGTGGGTTTAAGAGTGATGCACAGCCTGCCCAGACTTGGGTCCTATTTACAGAACCGAATCTTTTACTGGGTAAAACTCAAAGAAATCTTTAGGAAAAAAAAACCAACCAAACAAGAAAGTGCTCATTAAATAAAAACAACGTTATGCAATTGCACCTGGCCTTCCGTTCTCAGAGAAAAAAGCTCCGATCTGGTGAGGTGCTCTCAGCTTTGAAGCTCAACTCAATTCATTATCTTGAACTGCGTTTCAGTCATCTTAAATATTTGATTTGGAACCATACCCGATACGTTGTGTCTACCAGCACTCTTAGCCTTTGTGTACAAACGTTTACACAATCAGAGTGGACTGCTTAGCGTTCCTTTTAGATTCTCTTGTAGCACAATCTTCCCTGTTACAAACTTTTAAATTCACAGTACAAAAAAAAAAAAAAAGACTCTCCCTGGTATCCTTAAGAAATTTTTTGTTTTTAATAAGAAATTCTGGGCCACACAAGATCTGGTGATGTTCGTTTTGTCTCACGTCCAACGACTTGGGCTATTGCATGTTTTGTGAGCTGAAGCTTTTACATCAGTCATCTACTTTGGGTGCTGCAGCTGAAGGTAGTGTTTCACAGTTCACATAGGTAGTTTCATCATGTTCTCAGCATAGCTCATAATACATCTGCTCGCTTATAAATTCCTTCTTCCCTTTTACTTTACTTGGCAACAGAATGACAAGAAAGTAGGTTTTGTTTTGGACTGTTTCATCACCCTTTGAAATCCCTCATTGAGCATCTGCCCTGTTCTCAGTTTAGGAAGAGGAAAATGCTTGGTTGTATATTGTACAACAGTGTGTCTTTTGCTGTCCAGGTAAGAGCCAAGGCTTCACTTGGCCACTTGCAGTCAATGTCTGCATGCTGTTTGGCACTGGCAGAGGCCTCATGAGCAAAGAGAGGTTTGCCTGTCCTGAGAGCAGAGCTGCTGTCACTGGGTGCAGAGCACAGGCCATGCTTTCCCATGGCTCTGTTGGTGGTGATGCTTCTTAACTCAGAGACAGAGGATGTGAACCCCATGTGGCCTTCTTGCCAGGGACAGGAGATCAGTAACTGTGGGTGTGACTTGGAACAGCTTTAGTTACTGCATTTGGAAGAAAAAGTTGGCAAATCAGTGTGCTTGAATTGAAGTGGAGGACAGGGACATGTGTTTTCTCTTTTCAGTATAACAGGAACGTCACGCTTGGCCTTTCCTACCATCTAGCACCACATATTTAACAGTTTCTGTAATACAGACAGGACTTCTGTAGTATTTGCCACAAGCTCCATGAGTTTGGTGTAGTCACCAGCACAGCTGCTAATGTAAGCCTGTCAACTTCAACCGACTTCTTGCTGCAGTGGAAGTAAAGGAATTATAATCAACCACACATCTGGATCAGGAGTGCAGGCACATCCAGAAGTGCCCAAAGAAGCAGCTCATGAGCCTCAGCCAAGGCACGACGATGCACAAAAATGAGTGCAGTTTAAAGGAGCTCATTTCTAGGAGATGGTCTCAGCTCTAAAGGTGCTTGTGAGGGCTGCAGGCAACCACAGCATGAAGAAGGCTCTGGTGGGGATCCGGGATCATCTCCACCACTGGGAAAGGGGGAAGAGCCCAGAGGACACCAGAACCGTGCGCTGCCCTGCCGGCATTGCTGCGCTGCCTCCCCTGGACTGTGCCATCTCTCCCGTGTGCCAGGGCAGTGGTGTGGTACATAATATTGCTACGTATTTGATTAAAGTGTTTTGGTATCCAGATTCCTTTTGCCTCCAAATTGTCGTTTACTCTTAAGCCGTGCCAAAACTCCTGAGTGAGACCAATGATATTTGCTTAGCAGCTATCGTGTGCCACCTGTGTGGCTCATCAGTCCCAGGACAGGGCACATTCTGAGCTGCTACAAAGAGCTGCAGTGCAGTCATTCAGACCTCTGTCACCCCAAAAGTGGACAAGGTTACATGAATGTTTGGTAATTGGGTCAGATGTGGATAGCAGTGCCTCTCACACAGCACATGACAAGACAGAAGGACCTCTCTGATGATAATTACCTGCACGGTTACAGCGGTGGTGGTAGTTTCCTGCAAGAGTATGTAAAGCTTACGGGACTACAACAGGAGTTTGTTTTGGTGAAGAAAAAAGGAGAACCTTCCAAAGGTCTGCAGGGAGCAGTGGGGATTTTGCTGACTGAAGGTAAAAGGCATTATTTTTCCCCATGTTTTGAATATGTGCTATGAAGCATTGCTCATTTCCACTTAACGCATATTTCAATTAAGTAAGTGAGCTGAGGGTGTAAAAAATATGACACGAGGCAAGTGGCATGATACATAACCTCTCATTTGCACCACCAAACAGCAATACAAAAAAAGCATCAAACTATTAACTAGACTTTTTATTTTAAAATTCCTGCTGCAAAAATGCTCTTACTATGGGTTTTTCTGTAGTTTTTCTGTAGTGCAGTTGTAAGGAAGCAAGCATAGCTTGATAGAGAGAAGCCAAATTATGCTAAATTGTCACAGCTGTGCTGTTGGAAAGCAGTTTCGCTTTAAAACTGCAGAAAACTGCAAAGAGGGTGGACTTGATTCTTGTTACTGGCAGTGTCAGAAGGTTTGTTTGGGCCCAGGTTAATATTGGAACGAGCCTTACTTTAACAGAGGAATGACTCAGCCTGAATCATGCCCCCTTGGCAGCCGGCAGTAAACACAGAGATGTAAGCGATACAGCCAAACTTTGACTTTCAGCATGAGTAGGGAAGGCTGGTGAGAGCATTGAGCCTCAAACTCCATTTTAATAAAGCCAAGTGGTTACATATGATTCTGATTGAATTAAAAGTACCTGAGCACGCTGAAAACATTAAGAAAATAATTATTTGTCCCTGACAGCCAATTATTTTTCGAGATTATATTATGGAGAGCTTAAAAAATGGAGGTTCAGACATTGCAGGTGGCTCGTAGTGATGCTGGCTCACCTAGCAGCAGTTCATAACAAGGAAGGGTGCTTTTCTACACAGGCAACATACAGAGACATCAGAAAATTGGAAACTGTTTGGATTATTTGGAAATTATATGACCTGGATACTTATGTTAGAATCATTAACAGCTACTTGGAAAAGGTGTTGAAGTCCTTTGATAGTTTAAGAGCAAAAATTTTATTCCCAAATCTGTAGGATTTATGTTTAAAAAACGAATGTCTAAATTTTCACTGTTACATTTCACAGCTAGAGCATCACTGAGATTAGCAGGTAGCACATAGATGTTTCAGAGTGATTAATGTCACCTTTTCAGGGTAACTTTTCACAGCTCCAGGAGTTAGCAACAGCTTTTTTAAATTAAGCTCATCTTTGTTGTCAGTGTGACAAGTGAGAGTGAACACAAATTCCCTCAAAACAGGAACTCCAGAGCTGGCAGAAAGGACTATAAGTAGTTTGAGACAGCAGGGAATGCAGTGATGGAGAAAAGAATAGGAGCTACAGCATAAGCTCATATTACAGAGCCCTGATGATAAAGTGCCAGTGGATGGTCAGCTACAGCTATATAGCCCAGAGGAAGCCTGTACAGAAATAGGTAAGTTAAAAGCATTCTCTTCTAATTACACTGAAAACATTTATATGAAATAGAGGTGAATTTAGCATTAGAAACTGGTTTTAGTGTTCGTTTAGGGAATGAAAACAGCAGTGTCTTGGTATTATTGCAGGTTTTACATCTGCAAGCTTCTTTCACACAGCCTTGGCTAGCTATAGGAGTCATTATTGGTGAAAGCCTTTTTGGAGTACCAAACAGAACGGAGCTGCAGCCTGTAAGTACCTGAGAGAGTGTGCATTTGGTACTTTGCTAAAGTGCTCCGTGGTGTCAGAGCACAGATTACACTGACCAGGTTAAAAAGGGCAATAAATAAACAAAACACCCAAACCAGACTCTGGATAAGCACAGATGGGTAATGTTACATACAGTAATGAAAAAACTGCATTGCCCTTCTTAGAGAGGAAAAAAAAAAAGATAAAGCAGATGGTTTTTGTTGGGATTCTTCCGATTATTCCGTATGATCAGACAGTGAATGTGTGCATCCCAGCTACCTAAATAACCCTGCCAGAGAATCTCACACAGTTCAGTTCTGAGGCTTTTTCCAAACTCAGCAGATATATCTTCATCAATGTTGCTGTGTTTGGAGGTGGCCATACTACAGGGGAAAGTCCTATCCCAACTAATCCGCGCTATTCTCAGTTTCTGTAGTAGTGTGATCCCATTTAAAGTGATGGAGGAGTAGTTTCAAGGATAGGAGATGTTATATTTCTCAAAAACAGAGTGAAGCAGAGAAGGGACCTCCTTGCCCATCCCTTGCAGACACACAACCCTTTTCTGCAGTCCCCTGGCTCCAAGAACAGTATCTGATTGGAAGCAGTGTTTTCTGTAGCTTGCTTGCTCACAGGACGACTTAATTTTTAAACAAGCGCTGCTTGACAGCATTGTGCAAGTTTATTAAATCAGAGGTGATGTGGGCTACCCTGTGCTTCCTGTGGTGTTTGACCAGCTTAAAATGAATTTATAGCCTCCTCTCCTTGTGACCTGAAAGGCAAATTCACCAAGCTAACGAATGGAAATAATTAATGTTAGAAGCTGAAACGTTCTCAGTTGCAATGGATGTGAAGCAGTGTTGACTGCTAATAAGATTTCATTCAGAGATAACATTGTTTCATAGATGGAGTTGTTTGCATTTAAACACCCCTTTGATTTATTCATTCTCACTTTTTGTACAAATTGTTTCCCAGATATTGCAAATGTGAGTGGTAATACTGGAGAATTATTCCATGTCTAGAAAGCTGAGAGGGTTTTAACCGTTTACAGAGTACAACTTCAAGATTTCCTCCCTCAGTTTCCATTTCAGATGACCATAAACCTTTTCTTCTTCGGTGAAAACAGTGTGCTGGATGTTAGTTAGTCAGTCTGAATGTCTCGTGATCAGTAATGCACAGAGGTTGCCTGACAGCAGTCTTCTCGGACTCAATTCCACAGAGACTGTGCAGAGTATTTCAGCTAACTCTGATTCTGATGCAGCTGTCAGGATTGTTGCACATCTCCTGAACTGTGAATCTAACAGTGGTGTGTCCGCATGCGATGAAAAATCACTTTGTTCTTTCCTAGCCTTTAAAACAGTGTCCTCCTGGGTAACTGGCAAGGGCTTGGGGTCCCAAAACCAGCATGTAAGGTGGTTAATTTGAGGAGGAAGCTATGCTTTATCCAACTGGAACGTTTCTGGTTCAGGATCTCTGGTTGATTGGATGTTTTCCTGCAGATGCTGAGCTTTCGCTCGTACTCCAGCTTCTTTCACATGAGTCCTCAGAAAGTAATACATTTTTCTCTGTTTACTATTTGCTGTTATATCATTATTTTCTCCTTGACTTCTTACTGTATACACCGTAACACTTTGTCTTTCCTTCTTTGTCTTGCTGTGTTTGCATCTATGTGTGTGTAAAATATACGCTATCTTTTCTGATGCCAGAGCATGCAGTAGATGCCCCAGGAATTGACTCTGATTCACATCTTCCTTTCCACCTTCGTTTCTAGACCCCTTTTTTTCCCTTATTTCAGAGATGAGAAATCTGCATTCTGCATTTTCTTCCCTTTCACCTCCAGAAATGTTCTCAAGCTTTTTCTTCAGTACAGCATGGTCGATCCCAAGTAGTGAGCTGCTAGGTGATGTGCTGCTGTATGAATGCATGTTGGTTTTTGTCTTAGTCACAACCTCCAGTGCTAGAAACAAGATGAAAGTAGGACTGTTCAATTCATGTCTTCTATGCCTCTCAGTACCCAGCCATTCTCTTTGTGTCATCAGGGGAGAAAGAGAGACAGACCATATCACTTGGCTTCTCTTTGCCCGAGCCACATAACCCTGTAAGGAACCAGAGAGTGATTCAGATATTGGTGATGGGGATAAAACAAAGGTGTCGTTACAGAGGGCAGCACTTGTCTAACCAAGACATCTGGCTGCATATTGCTTTGTTTCAGGGATGGACATGATGAATAAAATTCCTGACATCTGTCCTCCGTAAAATAGAAGCTGGGATTCCTTGAGATTTTTAGAAGGCAACACAAAAATATCAAGGAAGGTGCCTTGCTTAGTGTTAGAGACATATACGAAACAAAGGGTAAATACTCTATGAACTAACCTTCTAACCATTACCAATCTGTTCTCCCAGTATTTTCTTTGAATTAAAATCTTGCATGAGGAAGCTGACCTATACAGCAGTAGTGGTACCTCACCCTCTGTTAATAAAAGCCCAACTATTGCCTTGAGGAAAGTAATAATACTGTAAGTGTGTTGTGAAGTGTTCTGTATTCTGAAGCAGGCCAAGTCCTGGACGTGTAACATGGCTACGAGTTTTGAAGCTTCTGAATCGAGGCAGAACTCAGCTTCTCCAGGACAAAGGTTCACAGCATAACCTCATGCTGAAAAATCCAATGGTTGCCTCGTGTTCTCTTGTAGAGAAGGATAATTATCATACAGAAATCAATCTACCTATCTATCTACATATCTATCTACCTGTCTGTCTATCTCATACCTTATCTGTGCATTACTAAAACCAGTAGCTTGTCATGGAAAATCTCACAAAATTCAAACGTAGGTTATAGTGATTTCTGAATAATCTGATGCACCTATAAAAATACACAGAAACTCTACTGAATGCAGCAGGTTTTCTTCATTTATTAATTGCAGTCTTCTCTAAGATAAAAGCAGGCCTCCTATTAGGGTGCTTTCTTTTCTTAACCCCCTTACCATATCAACCTCTGCAGCTGTTAGGGTTGCTCTGCACATCATTTTCTCACCATTCTTCCACTCTAATGCTTTACTCCGTTATTATTTCTGAAAAACAAACAAAGCAGAAGCTTTTCACTAAATAAATCTTCTTTCCCTGCTTTCATCGCTTCATTTTAAATGCACTCACTGTTGCAGCCATTGCTGCTTGTAGTCTCAACCAGGTGGGCACCACACTCTGAGGAACCTGTCCTTGCAATGGTGGCTTTCCTGACCATAGGAGAAAAAAAATGGAGAAAAAACAACACAGAATGAAAAGTTACCAGAGAAAATAAACATGAATTGTGTGATACTTCCACTAGAAAAAAAAAAAAGAGCAACATAGCTCTTCTGCAATTACGTCCTAATTACCATCCAACATTTCTGAGAAGCATGTATTTGAGGGAGAGCAACAGAGATCAGAGCACTTGGACCTACGAGGCTTTTCTCCTGAAGTTAATGTTCCTGTTTCAGTCTGATTTGTCAGGATTTTATTAAACAGTGAGTAGATAACACAAAGTTGTTTAATTTATCTTTACCTCTCTTAGCATTTGGAAGGGAAATTTCAATGGTGTGATGTTTTCTACGTTTGAGGAGAAGCACATCCTTTAGATAGAGCTTTTCCTTGCTTTCTCTTTCCCTCTTTCTTTTAATAGTAATTAGACATCTGCTCTCTTCAGAAGAGTCATGAGCTGTTCTCCTTTCTGTCCAGTTTGTGTCCTGTGGAGGTACAACTCCTCCACAAAATCTGCTGCCTTGGATAGCTCAGATGGCTTTATTCCTAGACCTGTGGTTTTGGCTGGCGGAGTTCCCATTCATCAATATAAGCTTATCATATAGCTAATTTGGCATTTTAATATGGTCTTATAATATGTTATGTAAATAAATCACAGTTATTCTAGTATTCCATGGGGTTTTCTCTACCCCTCTAAGTGTGGCACTCTGGCCTTTGCATATTTTTCTCGTTATAGATCTGTTTCATGTGCAGTACATGCTAACCAGCTACATAATCAGATCTGCCTGGACACCTACGTGTGCAACCTGGTCTAGGGAGCCTGCTTTGCCAGGGGGTTGGACTAGATGACCTCTAGAGGTCCCTTCCAGCCCCTGCAATTCTGTGATTATTTCTCCTACAATATGTTTCTGGAGAAGGAAGGGCCAGATGGATCTCTGCTGACCTGTGAACTGCTTGTAGCCAAACGTGCCATTTGTTACCTGAGGAACAACGTAATAGCAGGGATTCTGAATGCTTTCCTGTTTTCCTCAGAACACAACTGCAGACTTGTTCTGTGTCAGCCTTCTGTAGAGAAGTTAATCGTGATTTTGAGATTTCCCAAGACGTCTGGTATGAAAGCTAGATCCATGGGCAGCTACCTAAGTCATCAGACTGAGTTGCTGTTGTTTCTCTGAGAGGCTCTACTGCTTGTTCCACCTAAGTAAACTGATTTCTGTAAGGAAAGGCAGTTTTTGAGGTTCAACTTCCAACTATGTGAAAGAGGAGCTGTGCAGACCTGTAATTGCTGTTATGTGAAGCTTCTTTACTTTGGTATTTGGTCTTTGACCATAAAACTTAGTAAATTGGCTCCAGCCTTCCCTAATTTTACTGTATGCAAGAGGAAAAAGCTTCTACAATGGATTCGTTTCTGAATTTTATGCTCTCTGAAGACTTTATTTTTCTCTTTTTTTGCCTCTGTAGAAACAGTTATATGAGACAGTGTGTTATTTATGTTACGTAAAGCCATGCTTCTAAGATCACACCAAAGAAGAGATGTCATACTGGCTTCATAAGGGAAAGTTTATCTTAGAGCTTCATATCTGGGGGGTATTTCTCAATGGAGATGCTTTTCATCTCCCAGAGATTTTCAGCAAGCGTTTTCTGTCTCCAGAGCAACACTGCTACATTAGCAGAGATCACACACAGCCTCAGTGCATCAACACAGGAGAGCTGGGCTCCTGCCCCTTCTGCCACAGCTGCCAACACAGGGAGCAATTAATGCCCCACTGCAAATTGCTCTCAGTTGGATCCAGAACGATAACACCAGCTAGATGTCTGCTGGCTTCTGCACATGGACAAGTGGTGGTATTTGAACAGCACCATGTTTGGTGAACGCCGGTTGTGGGTGGTGGTCCCAACACATGCACACATGGCTGCAGTCAGCTTTGTTTTTCAGTTCATTATTCAATGCACCATCACGGGCCTGAGGTGAGGTTAAGGCTTCTGCTTGCCAGAGTGAGCTGGGAACAGCTGTGGGTGCTTTGGGACTGCCCAGGGAGCCCTGTCCTGCATTCTCTACTGGGCTCCTCTTGCCTCTTGTATTGCTGATGGCACGTGATGGACACAGTGTATCTTCTAACAAAGAAGAGAAACTTGACAGTATCTTTGGCTTCTGGAACGCTGGACTGCTTTTCTAGGTTGAAATACCCACCTAACTCAGAAAGTTGTTGAGACAGTGAGAAAAGCAGTGTTCAAGGAGTACCAAGTGCTCCAAGTTCTCCCTTTCTGGCTTTCTTGAGAGGAGAAAGAAACTAAAACCTAGCTCATGGATGAAAACCACTGCCTTCATCAAAGACCAGGTATCAGCAAAGAAGATAAGGATGAGCTTGCTCGCCCAAACAGATTTGGTGAGCCGCTGGCACAGGCTGCCCAGAGAGGGTGGTGGATGCCCCTTGGAGACGTGCAAGGTCGGGCTGGAGCATGCTCTGAGCACCTGATTGAGCTGTAGGTGTAGCTGTTCTGTGCAGGGGAGTTGGACTGGATGACCTTTGGGGGTTTCTTCCAACTCAAATGATTCTATGACTTGTATGAATTTTTAAAGTTATTTAAAGCTCTGTTCTATTCTTGTTACTTGGTAATAATTTGTAAATATTTTTTTGCTAACTACTGATATGGTGCTGCACTGCTGATAAGACAGGAATAATTTAATTTAAATGTCCAAGGGAAGGGGGGATGTCCTCTACAGAAACTTTTTTTAATACTGTTTTATCAAATACCCTGAATCTTTTCTCAGTGTACTCAGCTATAGGAAATTGGCACTTGGTAGGTTTCTATTATGGCAGCTGGGGTGAAACTAGACTGGCTCTTCAAAAGTTGCTTGTTGAAAGGCACTGATCAGAACAGTCTGATTATGGAAAAGTGAGGAACAGAACTGCAAGAAGGACATTATAACTAGAGAGAAATGCAGCATAGAAGTGACCAAGAAGCTTCACGTGTGTGATGGCTAATAATTACAGGGCCTACTAAGTTGTCCTGTAAAGGCATAAATATATATTGTACCTCAAAAACAAGGGAGGATGTAAGAGATCGACTTGTTTGCACAAATAGAGCTGTATAAAGGCACCAGTTACTTTGGCTTCACACTTTGGTAAGTCACCTCTACTTCTTAAGCTTTGGCAACATAAAGGTTTACTAATATTTTAAAATATTAATGGTAACTCCAGGTGCAATGTGCAATCTCTCCAAAACTGGTCTGATAGTTGCTTTTAGAAAGCGACTAGAAGTAATAGCTTAGAAAAGACATTTAGAAAGAAGTAAAACATTATAGGCAGCAAGCTGAGGCATCCACATTAATTATGCTAAATAACCACACAAACCTTATGGATAATGCATTACATACTTTTATATTCAAATAATTAATACATGATTACCAGAAGCAATTTCTACTTGATTAAATAGCTTCAGCACTTTTACCTGCAAAGGAAGTAGAATGTTCCAATTAAAAGAACTCCGAGAAGGAGAAGTGAAGCCAAGAGAACTGCAAACAGGTCACCTTTGGTTTGAGACTTGATGCTGGGCAACAGAACTTCTTCACAGCGTGCTCCTGTGTAATTCTCAATACACCTGGGAAGCAAAGTTGTATACAAATGAGAGCATTATGTGTCATCTAGCATGAAAAGTCTTTTTGTCTTAAGTGGGGTGAGAGTGGGGAGAAGTTTATATTCCTTTCATAGCAGACTTTCTCAGGGCATTTCCACCTGCCTCGTATTTCTGGAATAAAGGGAATTAGGCATGTTGGGCATTACATTTCTATTCTGATTCATACAGTTGTTCCATGAAATTGTTACATTGTGTATTTCTCAATATGTTTACTGGATTAACAATATATCACGCAGTTAAATCTGCCTCTTTTATAGGTAGATTAAATTAAACCCAGCTTCTTAGTGTTAACCGAGTTATCCCACAAGATCTTATCTTGCACATAGTAATCATGCTTTCTTTTCTTCCTTTTGTGTAACTTGTTACTATTCTTTGTTGAAGAACTCCTTGGGAATTCACCTGAAGAGCTAAGACACTTAAATTGCAAAGGTAGTTTATTTCAGTGAAATAATTTGTTCCAGAGAATAATTTGTGCTCAGTGAATGAGAGACTGAATTGAAGGTTTCCCTCCTATGCTTATTTCCCGTAGTGAGCTTCTGAAAACTTCTTCCAAAGAGAGGATTCACAATACATCAGAAGCTACAGAAGAAGCAGAAAGTTTTGCACAGTGCAGAAAAACATCTTGAACACTTATGTTTCTTTCAGACGAGGCTTGTTTGCACACCCAGGCAGTTAGCTTAGGCACTCTAGGGAACAAGGCTTCTGAAGAGCTGCAAGGAACTAGCTTAAACTATTTATTATGCAGAAATTAGGCTGGTCTTACGAAATGACTACAGCCTGAACAAGTGCTCTGGGACTTCCTTCTGCCTTGTTATTGAGACATTATTAGGAATGAAAGGAACACATCAAACCTCCTCTGTTTGAAGAACAGCCCCACCCAATCTGAAAATCTGGTGTTTATTGAGAAGATTCAAACAGTTCCTTCCTTGCTGGTAAGTAATGCATCTGAGAAAAAAGAAATCCCATCCATAAGATGGATGCCTCCTTTGTGATAACAGTGTTGTAGACAATCCTGTTGCATCTGATTGTTCTTGGGTAGTTTGCAGGGATGAAGAAATGAAGTATGGCCTTAAAATATGGATTTTGTATTTATCTTTCATTGAGTATAGAAATGAGCAGGCATTAGATGGCAGCTTGGGAGGGTAGTGGTGTCTGTTTGTAACATGAAGATAGAGAAGACTGACTTAAGCAAGGCTGAAGCTTGGCCTGCCACTTTTGGAAGATGTCTGGAAGAAGCACAACAGCAAAACCCTTAGAGCTCCCAGAACAGCCTCCTGACAGAGCAATTAGAATCAGTGCCTCCAGTAGCCTGATGTCTGTAAGCAGCAGAAACAGAAACATAACCAGAGACACAAACCAAAATGTGACCACGGTCTAGGGCTAAACGTGATGGGTTGTGTGGGGGAATTGTGTGGGGTTTCTTATGGTCTGTTTTAGTAGTAGTAGTAATAACATTGTTATTGGTAGAGTTAATATGATTAATAGTATTTTTAATAACACTTATTTTTTATTGCACTGCTTTTACGAGCTGGGCTAGTCATTGCCAGAGCTACTGTGAGAGATGATGACTGGGAATAAACTGAAGCAGCTAGACTGCTGTGAATGCTTCCAGGTGTGTAGGTTGAAACAGAGCTCTGAGGACAAGACAGCAGCTTCTGTAAAGGCATTCATATAGGGATGGCTAAGTGTAGGTCAGGAACTGCAACAGAGACACTGAAGATGCCTTACTGCTTGTCATTAGCTATGAGGGGAAGAATTAGCATACCAAGCAAGTTCTTGTTGCATGTTGGGCATGTAGGCCAAGTCGGCCAAAATGGGTTTTATGTACAAAAAGTAAGCATATCTACCAAGGAAGGCTACAAAGGAAACACTGGAGGTATGTATAGATGGTGCCACAAGGTGCTGATTATTATTTAATGAAGCTTCCAACATGTTTGCATCTCTCTGAGAATGAGCAATAACTTGTCACCCAAAGGAGATTCTGACCTACCTCTGAGCTTACCCCTGGATGACAGCTGAGCCCTCTGCCAGGCCAGGCTGTGCTGTAAACCCATGAGCTGTGGTGGCAGCAGCAATGGCTCAGATATTTCAAGGACAAGTACAGGGGTATGTCAAAGAACAGAGCAAAGGAAGTATCTGATAGAGCTGTGTTGTTTAAGAGATTGCTATCACTCTTCAGTATTCTCCATTTTGATTTCTTCTTATTATGTTTGGTTTAAAAAAGAAGTTGGGGGGGCGCCCCCCCAAGGCATCTAAAACTATGAGATGTCTCAAGACTAAAACTGCAATAACCCATTAAATAAAGCAGGTAGCTTAAAAGCTGCTACCATTTAATACCATGCGACCTAATTCAAGTAACGTCAACAAATATTCTGAAAACATGAAAGTGAAATTTGATTTGCACTCCACATGACATATTTAATTTACAGTCTGTTTCCAGTCCAGTCTGGATTTACTGTAAAGCTGAGGGATTAAACAGCATGCAGCTTCCTTGGTACGTCACAGTGTAGAACTTAAACTTGTCTGGTTGGGTGCCAACTGGTAGCTGACCTTAGGCCTACCTTATTTTGAAAGGCTTTGCATGCTGTACTGTACTCACAAAATCTAGAACCAAACTAATTATAAAATGGTATTTTGTTATTAAAACAAACTTGCTAAGTGGCTTAGTAATTCATATGGATCAAAATGATGTAGGCTGAAGATAAACTATTCTTCATTTTTCTTGTTTTTAGCATTTATTCTGCAAAATTTTCTTAAGGAATTTACTGCATCACAGAAAATGGAAAGCGTATTATTTAGTGACTACGTTCTGTCTGTGTCTTTGTGTGTGTGTTTGTGCTCCTCTCTGCTTCTATTACTGAAGGTCTCGCTTCTTGCTATTTCTGGCACTGAAGTCATAATAATCTGTGACATGGGCAACTTCAGGCTCTATCTGAGGAAAACGGGCTGAGCTCCGTAACGTCTTTAGTGATCTGAATTGCCACTGGCAGCTGCAAGGTATTTCAGATAAGAGATTAAAGAGGGGTTAAGGGGGAAGGAACAGCCAAGAAGGAAAAATGTCAAGCATATCTAAATCCAGCAAATAGATTGCTGTCAGCATATCACCACGCTCACTTGGTATGGCTCCCAGCACCAATTTTCTGTGACTTATGGACTACTAGTTCAGTACTAAAGGTCTTCAGTACAGGTCCAAACAATTACATGAAGAACTACTAGCATTTCTTTTGCCACTGATCAAACAGTCACCATTTACTAAGGACAATGTGAGACTTCTCAGAATTATTGCACTCAGCTGCTGGGAGAAGGAAAGATAGGCAGACTGCTCTGATTGCTTGAGATAATGCTCCAGATATTTATTGTAAGTATAGCAGCATTTCAGGAGCCTTTTCCTGAGAATCTGTAGTGTAACTGAAGAATAGAAATGCAGCTTGAGTAGGGCATTGTTCTGTAGCAAGTGAGAGAGAAATGCTTTGTAGAACTGAATAAAATAACAGGAATAGAGAAGGGAATGTAATATTCATAGCAGCATTCTTGAATACCAGTGAAAACTGTCAGATCATGCTAGGCTAAAGTGATACATGGAGAACAAATAAATAGGCTTTGGTGTAAACTGAGGCTTATGGAAAAGTTCTAGAGAATGTGTGTAAAGGGAGCTACATCAGTGGTCCCAAGGAAAAGTGAAGCAGGAGGAAATAAAGTTGGTCCTTCTAGCCAAAGGAAGTGGCATAGATAGGATTAGGTTAAAATCACAGGGTTGGAGAACTGTTGAGATTCAGTAGACTGAGCTGGCATAAATCACCCATGGAAGGCATATTCATGCTCTGCTTAAAGATAAACATAGGGAAAAGGAAAAAAAGGAATGCAGTGGCAGAGTTGCAAACAGGTCATTGAGACTGTAGCAACTTTCTCCTAAATAGAAAGCAGAACCAGATCTTTAAGGCAGCCCTAAGTCTTCAAGAGGAAAAGAGTCACGAGGCCTAGGATTCTAAGGAGAAACATTATAGCAAAGGGAAAAATATCTACACTAAAGAAAAGCAGGTACAAAACTTAAATATCCTGGATGCTAACTGTATTAATTCTTCCTGGATGCAAATTTTAGAAACATTTCACTTGTCTTGGCAAATCGATAGTATCTGCTTGGCAGTGTGCAATGGAGCACACTCAAACAGGACAGAAAAGTAGCCTCTAACAAGCATGTGGTTTAGGAACAAAATCTGGGCTCATGGGTATCTATATAGTGTCTTTTAGAAGTAGTCAGGTTTAATAGACACAACTTCAAAAGTCAGTAACAGCTCCAGGTTGACCTTGTTTATAATGGATGCCTAAAAACAGATCAAAAGTTAAGTGTGACGTATTCAGAGTTGTTAAATATGGCAGGTGCTTGAATGAACGAGTACAAAAGACACAGAAGCCTGCTTCTGGGCTATACACAAGGTGAGGAGGTTATAACAATTACTTGTGGTCACCTGGCTTGGTGTTGCTGTTGCACAACAACATTTGTCTGTTGGCTCTAAATGGTCCTGCGTAGCATTCCAAAGTTGATTTATTTTAAATGGGGAAAAAAAAAATCTTCTCTAAGAAATGAAAATTTGTAATGCAATCAGATTTGAAGGACGGCAGCCCTCAGATGTTTGAGAACAGTCGAGACCAGACACTCCTCTTTCAGGGAGCATCCAGGCTTCTGCCTTCCTTGATGCCAACACACCCACGTACGCACCTGCACCTCTCGTCAGATCAGATGAGCAGCTCTTATATATGAACTCAATATAGCAGCTGTGCTGGAGACGAAACACTGACAAAATACTCCAGTCAGAACTACCCACAGCAGCGTCAATAAAAGGTGGAAAGAAATAGATTGCATTGAATTAGATGACAGGACATGACTAGCAGGTCTAAATTACAGTTAGAGATCGGATCAGAAAGCATCAATAAGAAAATAAACACAGCAGTTTCCAGTAACACGAGGCATTACTGCAGTCTAATTTGCAGACACACTGGCTGTCTGTTTTAAGTGAGAAGGCAGGGTTTCCTTCTCTTCCAGACTCTAAGGTGGGTAGCACAAGCAATATCTGACAGATTAAACATTGGAAGTAAGATTTGATTCAGATGTACTCACAGACTTCTCATTGCTTATTATTATGCAACGAGTATTTATTTTAGTTTTCCTTTAGTCTTCTTTTAGTGAGGAAAAAATTGCGTGTTACCTGATAGAAAAATTGCTTGCATGTACAAAAAGCTCTAAGTAGTAAAAGATATCTGAAAAATGAGCTGTGTGCCAATGTAATCAAAGTTGTGCAGCTGACAGCTTCAAGATCACTGTAATCTTTGGTCTGTAGAACTCTTTAACTAATTCATACACTACAAGGGCATCTAGTAAATATGAAAAAGACTTCAAAGCCTGGGTCAATAGGCAATGGCAAAGTTACCTGGAAGTTTTTAAATGGCTTTTTTAAAAAAAATTCTGTATCCACAGGATTTTCCAAACTGCTATTTCGAAGCTGCATTCGTATCCATAGAGAGTAAAATAAATCTCATGCTACTACTGGAAATAAGTGGAAAGAATTGATTATTTTCCCTTAGCATGCCAAATGTGATGTGCTTTGCATGATATCTGGTGAGCCTTATCACTAGTGTGTCTCAAGCTCATGAGATAATGTAGTTATTTCTATTTTTATGTCTCATTAAAAATGTAATAATTAACTTTTTGGTTATATGTTTGGTGTGTATTCTAACTTCTGTTTGTAGCTTGCAAGCAAAAAGCAAGCTTGGAAAATACTGACAGGACAGTTATTTCAAAACAGTTGTTTTCAAAATGCAGAAGCATGGTTTTGAAGGCAGGGAAAGAAGCAAAGCCCAGTAGTCTTCAGCAAGGTGTAAATTCTGAGGATTGGTGGCACAGCACGTATATCACGTGTGGGGACATTCAACAGTGGATGAAGGTCCCACTTAAGGAAGAACCAGACAAGGATGAGGTGTACAGAAATATCCTGATGGCTTGTAAAGTCATACATCCTAAAGGATACATTAACTGTGTGTTCTGCTCTGAAAATGTTGAGTGGGGGGGGGGGAACAAACAAACAAACAAACCAGCAATAACAACCTGTATCTTCTCTGAAATGAGAAAGAAGTTCTCAGGGATGTCCTGTGTAAGACAACATGGAAACAGCAGAACTTCACCTCACAATGAAATCTTAATTCTGCACTGCTTTAATTAATGATGATGGGACAGCTGCACATCAGGTGCTGAGGCAAACATCTTTCAGCCCAGCATTTTGTGATACACCTGAGGCAGCTGCTTTCACAGCCTTCTCTGTTCTGCTGTGTGTTTGTTTATTTAGTATGGCTGAGCATTCCCAGGTTTGAAGCTTATCTTGCATATGGTGACAGATGTGCCTTTTGATGCTGAGGTCATTAACTCAGTGTTAGAAAAGGAACAAAGGAAGATGGCAGCTGAGCAAGCTCATGTTTTAACATAATCAGCTGTATTTAAAATCTGCAGTGTTGTGCTGTGGGAGGAAAAGAAGGTCAACTACTGTTTTATTTATATGACATCTCTACAATGTATATATATCTAATTCCGAATGGATATTTCAGCATAAAGAACTGAAATATCCAAAAGTGAACAGTGTCCCTTAATTTGCTAGGATGCAAGGAAACGTCTTTCTAAAGAACGATGCAGTTTTCCCATTTATGTTGTCAAATTACTTCCAGTGACATCACGTCAGGTAAGCTGGACTATGTTTAGCTCAACGCATTTGTCTAGATGAATAACTTGCCAAGGCAAATGTGTTTTAAGGTATTTTGACAGTTTGCTGGTCCGTTCTTATTCCATTTGGCTCTTTTAATCAACACTGTGCTAACCACGAAGCCGCCTGAGTCTAAAAAGCTGCTGCTGTTTTTGTGTTGGTGGGAGAGATCAACTGAGAACACCTGGAACTGTCAGCGGGCTCTGCAAGAAATCTGTATCAGAGAAACTCGGAGCAACTGTGTGATGCTGTGGTTCTGTGATGCTGACAGTCCTGAAGTTCCAGGGTGCAGAATATTTTTCTGAATTCTGCTGAATAGCGATGCGTTTTTTTCTGTCGTTTCTATTCACATCACTGCTGATTACTAAGATATCTGTGTGTAAACAAAACCTTTCTCATCTATAATTAGCTTTCTCTAACTGATTAAGGGACATGCTTAGAATGAGGACATGCTTAAATAGAATGCTTCTATTTAAACCCTTATAACTTCATAATCAACCAGTAGGTACAGAGGAAAAATACTTGATAATTTAAATGCAATAAGATTGCCTGAGTGTAATAGAAATGTTCTTAAGATGGTACTTCTCTGCTTCAGCAGATTACAAAATCTAGCACGTGAATTACAAATGACTTCATTTGGAGCTTTTTTAAAGTGGAAGTTATCTATGCTAAAGCTCCTTGTGCTTGCACTCCTGAAGAATGACTTCTGAATATTTGTTACTTCTTATCTACAGTTACTTCATCAAATATGCCTTCCTTATTATGCAGTCCACCAACAGCCAAGACTGAGTGCTTTGAAACCATATAGCTAATGCTGTTCAGCCTACTTTCTTTGCACATAAGCATTTAAATATCAATAATAAGGGATTCCTTCCAGGAAAAAACACACATCAATCAGGGTACCCGAAAGGCATGTTTTACTTTGTGTATGCATGCAGTATGTGTTTTACATCACAGAAGTTGGTGAGGCTTATCAGCTATAATTACATCACTCTTGTGCTTTATCCTTGTTTCTGGATAGGATTCATTGTATGACACTGGACAGCAGACATGGCAGTGATATGCTGTGCTTGTGTTTTAATTAGCATTTACTACAGAATTCCTTTTCTCTCCTCGTCTACCAGGTGAGCTTGCATGCCTGAGCTTGCTTGTTTAGATTGAACTGTCCCCACAAAACAGAAGAAATTCTTGAATTAGGCACGTTGGAAAACATTTTGTTTCCTTCTTCTGTTTCACCCAATTACTGTTACTTATAACTCAAGACTGAAGAGGGAGCAGAAGCTGCCACAGGGAGGAAAGAGGTGGCATCCACAACTATAGGCAGTAGGTGTCTGAATGTCTATTATGTTATGTAAACCTATAAAATTAACCATAATTTAGTTCCATGAACAATAATTCAGAATTAGTAAATGCAGAACCATGGCAATTAAATTTTAATACGGCATCATTTTATATATTGGTGAAAAAGAAAATAAAAGGATAGGTCTGTATTTACACAGGGAATCCAAAAGCAGGACTGCAGTCAACGAATGCAAAAGCAGGAGATGGACTCTGAAGGGAAGAATGGCCCAATAAACTATCAGATATCTATATTTACTTTGTTTTACATTTGCCTAGATGCTTCTTCACCAAGTGGTCTTTGGCTGTTGCTGCAAATCTGTCCTTTGAGCATCTCCTTGTGATTCAGAGAACATGGTAAGGCTTGGCTTACATTCATGGGGTTTTTTTGCCTTAAAAAATAATATTCTTTTTTGTGCCTCCCATTTTTCTTCATGTCAGATCATTTTGGCATGATCAGAATTTTTGCAGTATAATTCACCTGGAAGAAAAACTGGGAAGGTACTTTGCCACTCCAAATACCTTGACTTACACTTTATTCTCCATTCAGAAAAGGGTGTTTTGTTCCCTTCTGTGTTGTAATGAGGGGAGGAAACGTGGCTCTAAATAGAGAAGTCATCCTGAATGCATACATAACTGAGTGCTGTTGCATCCATCAAACAAATGTACCCCAGGTATATTCATTTGGTTTTCCTCACTGTCATCTCTGTGGGCTTGGTAAGTTACATGAGTGTGAACTACTGAGTTTCAGACAGCCATCAGTAACAGTTATTTTCTTTCATTCAGTGGTTTAACAGTGCATTCTAAAAGCAGCAAAATGGAGAAACAGTTTTGAGACAGCTACTGTCCAGTATTTAAACACACAAATTTTAGTTTCACTGACCTGCAGAATGGACTGGGTACAGTAGGAATCATATAGCAAATGCCTCCATTTAGACAAAAAGATCCATAACTGGTGCCACAGAGTTCTTCATGATCTTAAAAATAAGACCAAAACAAAGAGTGAAAAATTGAGATTTCTGTATTTTCATTAATAATTACACTTAAAAAAAAATAATATATATATATAAATAAAATACACATGTGTGTGTGTGTTTCAGGGACGAGTTGTGGTGCAGCTTCATTTTAAGAAAAACAAACCAGGACAAAAAAAAAACCACACTAAGAACAAATATAGACTCAGTCTTGCCTCTCAGGCCATCGGTGTAGAGCACCATTTATCTTGCAGAATTGTTTTATGTAACTGTGACTATATCAAAAAAGTTGCAAAACTGTCACCATTATGAATAAATGCAAGAACTTTCTTGTGCCCAGAGAGGAGCTTTTGATTCTCCATTGCCTTTCCTGACCATCACCCATACACAGTTAAAAGATACACATGACATGGAAACCAGTTTGTCCTGCTCTAGTGGCATAAACCATTTTGAGCTTAACTAGCTTCTGTGAGAGAGAAAGAGTCAGTGCAGATAATCCCAGAATACTTCCAGCTGTGGTTCAGCTGCATTGGGTGCTGAATTATAGCAGCTGGACACCACCAGTTTTAACAACTAATCGAGCACCTAGCAAATGAAACTACAATGTCTTGATCAAAAGAAAAATAGAACAGTCTTCTGGCATCGCAAGCCTGAGAAGTGTGTTACCTCACACCTTAGGTGTTGTTTGTGCTGCTGTTTCTCCCAGAAGTTGTGAAAATCAGAATTTGCTGTCTCACTACTTATGTATAGAAGACATGCTCTGTACACAATATGGCATTGTTTACAAGGAATCAAAACTTTCATTTGTTTTTCAGGAAACAAGTAGAGTTGTGGTTCCCCTTTGTTCCTGCAGGCAAAAGTGAGAAAGTGTGGTCAAAGGCATTCTGCCTGAGAGGGCAGTAAAACTGTGTGTGTGGAATAAATCTGGCTTTTCTAGGAGTACTGGAAAATGTTAGCCACTCCTTATGCTGTGCAGCAACCACACTATGCACCCTGGCATGCACTGGACCATCTTCAGTAATTCCACTCTCCCCATCTTTTCTTATATTTTTCCATCTTAGCAATGTCATCTGGTCATGGGAGTGTGAATGAAGTCCATATATCATTTTAAGACCAAGGCAGTTATAGCACAGAGATCAGCAGGGTTGAAGTTTCATGTTCATGCTATCCAAGTGCTACCATCCAAATGGTAACTGGACCTTTTGGCACGTGTGCAGATAAATTAGAGACCTGGAGGAGAGACATAAGCCTGGAAAGATTATTTGTGTTTGACCTTATTGCACTGGTTCAGGATGTGATATAACAGAAACATGTGCTCCACCTCATGTCATTAGGAGGGAAATGGAAATTTATTTTAACTCTGAGGCTTTCTGTGCTTGTCTAGTGGCAAATAATTTACTGCAAGTTCACCATGGAAAGACATTTAGAGTAATTTTGCATGGGTAACTGAGTGCAAAATGGCAACAGAAAACATGAACTACAAATTGTTTGATTTCAGTCTACTCAGACATAACAGTGAAACTTCTGTGGCAGTGCAATTGAATTGAAGGCCACACTCTTCCTAAAATGAAAAGTGAGAATACTGAATACATGAGCACTGTATCAAGATACAAGCACCAAGTGAGAAAAGGCAAAACTCAGCCTAGACCTGGCCTCAGCTCCAGTTAGTGTCTGAGGGAGTCAAGTGTTGAGATTCTACCAGTTGGAAATGTGAGACAGGGTGGGCCCCACAGAAAAAGGATTTCAGATGGCTCAGGAAAAGCCTTCAAAGGAATTCTTGTGAGAATTAATGGGAACATATTAACTGCCTTATAAACCTGCGTTACAGTTGTATGCTTTTTCTTTATGCAGACAGAGGCCTGTCTGACTGTCTCAAACTGGCGTAGCAGTGGAGCACTGAAATAAATTAGATGCCTCAGTCATTCAGGATTCAGAGTATTTAGGAAAAAGATCTCCTCACTGTTACAGTGTGATCCATGTACTGGGGATCCAACTGGGCATTTTTGTTCTGGAAAAACACCTCAGGTAGTCTTATAAAAAGCAAGCGAGAGAGAACAAGAAGTGCCTAGGAGGCCTTCAAAACCTTTTCAAATGCAATTACAGACAATTCCTCTACAGGCTGTTTCTTTCTAGAGCTATGCTTCATTCTAATGCTAAGGGGAAAATTGTAACCTTAATTCTACCAAACACCCACATCCATGTAGGCCAGGTGCCCCGTTTTACAAGTGTGCTTTTCATTAATACCATATTACACATGAATCCTTTGCTACTACTTAAGTACTCAAGTAAAACAGTATTAAGTAGACCACACAATTATGAAGGAGAAGAAAAGAAAATTCAGAATACTCCAACAGTAAATAAATAAATACAAATTGGTTTCTACTAGTAGAGGATTTTGCTACTATTCTAAAATGTGTGTTATTGTATTCGGTACCATTGCACCAAAATACTGCAGTTTGGGTCAAATTTGATAGCTGTAGCTCTGTATTTGTGGGCAGGAGTGCATGAAAGTAACAGTTTAACCCTTTGAACTTATAGTCAATGATGCAGAAGAATATAACAGAGAATCAGAGGAGGTTAAGTGCAAGGAAAAACTCAATTACAATAACAATGGGGGAATATGTTACAATTTGTCATGTGAAAATGCTAATCGTACATTTTGAAAGTCAAATGCATGCTAAGTTCAGACTGGTATTATCAAGATAGAGAAGTTTAACAAGTCAAGTGGTGATGAGAAGTTAAATCTTTTGCATTTTTAATTGCCCAATTAATATGATTGCAGAAATGCTATCAACATACGTTCTACACAGTGTTTATCTGCATTCTGATATATCCTTCTACGTGAGAGATTAAAGAGAAGTAAGACACAAAAGTTTTGGTTTTTTATTTGATGTCTGTTTTTGCTGAAAGGGGGGATGGAAAAGAATGAAACAAGATTGTTCCTTACAAAGCTAAACTGATTATTTAAAACTGGCAGAGGTAACAGCAGCCTCTAAATACACTGACGCACAATTTCTCTTTTCAAGGACATTCATGAACACTTGTCACTAAATTATCTTGTCTATTCCCATTTGATTTTTTTTTTTAATTAACTTGACCATCCTATCTATTAGAAAGAAAAGCAAATGAAGGCTCAACACCACCTTAACCCTCAGAGAACCAAATTAGCCTTATAATCCACATGCTGACTCAAGTATAGTGCCTGGTCCGGAGGATAAAAGTCTATGGACTGCCCAGGCCTGAAGTCTGCTAAAACAAAAGGGGAAATGGGGGGAAATGTTGACCAAGAATTGCTATAGCAATTTTCCTCACTTGTAAGTGAGCACCGTATGCTTATTGATCACAACCCATTAAATACCAAGACTGAACAAAGCAAACGTTGAGCATTTGTTCCACTGACGTGTTGTAAGCAAAGACATTCCCATGCAGCACTTATGATGATCCTGAGGGCAGCTGTCAAAATCAATGCAAATTTAATGAATTCTAATTATATATATATGCAAGTAAGGAGCTGGAAGAAATTACCTGTTCGCATATTATTCCAACAATTCTAATTCTTGGGCAGAAGCTATTCTTCTAAACGGCACCTAAAGAGAAACGTGTAAATGCAGCATGTCATTATTCATCCCAGTGACCTTTTCCCCTGAGGAAGCAGCTCCTGGAATGCATCTTGCAGTGCTGCTGCTACGACATTTGTTGTACTTTGACAGCAGTATTACATGTAAATTCCATTAGCTCAAACTTAATGGCAAGCATTCAAGCATACTGTTAACTTCTAAGAGCAAGGCTACAGAGTGAAAACAAATTCACACCAAAGCATGCTTACATACCTAAAAGTATTGGATTTAAAAGTGTGGACAATCATTTATAAAATACGGAATAGAAGCTGTCAGTCTGCACTAAAGCCAATCTTCACATTGCTAAAAAGCAACCATTCTGCCAGCTACAAGCATCTACTGCTATATTGTTTTCTTTGAAGGCATGCTCAAGGTTTACCATACCAAGTTACTAAACAAGCCTCGTGTGGAAGTTCTTACTTTTCAATGTTTTCTTTTCTTTTTTTCCCCCTAATTATATATTAAAGTGAAAATAAAATAATCAGACAAATTGTCTTGTATTGGAAGAAATGCTAAGAGTAGTAGCAGTAGTATACTATTATTTTACTAGCAGTAAAATAATCCTTATTACTCTCTCATTTAAAGATGTAGTATTTATTCTCCTTGAACCTGGAAGTTCTCTCTCAATTAAATGATTTATTCCCACTAAATGGTTAAATGCAATAAAATCCCAATTTTACCAGAAATAACTTCAGTTTCTAGTGCTACAAAGGAAACTCTCTGTAGAAGCCCATCTCAAATTTTGTGTTTTCTGTACTTACAACATAAGCACACAAGTCTGTGCATCACCTGAACAATCCAAGGTGATGTACGTGTGGACGTACATTTCTATTTTGTGTTTAAGCTCTAATAAAGTATTGTAGCTTCAGGTTTAAGATCACTTCTAAGAGAGATGCTGCTGACAGTACTCATAGTTGTGGTGCTTTGTTGTTTGTTTAAGACTCTAAAGTAAATCATTAGGCAGTCATGCATTTATAGGTAAATGTTTTTCTCTTCATTGCTTTTTTCAGTCTTACCAGAGTTGAAGTATCAGAGTCCTAATCAGAGCAAACCAGGCTCTCCACCTCGTTAGAAAAATACACTGATCTATTGCTATACAAGGTAAACAAATTGTTATAGCAGAAGTTGTTGCTAAACCTGATTCTAACTTGTTTACATCTGTGCCATGAGCTAGTATGTGCAACTAAGGGATCATTTGTTCATCTACTCAACAGCTTCCCAACTCAAAGTCTTCTTTTGAGACACAACTATATCTTATGCACACAGAAACTAGGAATGCAAGACTGTGCACGTTTAAATGTTTATCTTGCATGCACCTCGAGAGCTTTTTGAAAGATTACTTTGTGTACCAAATTAGAGTATTTTAATCTAAAGTTTAATACAGTCTGTTCTGCTTTGTACCAGTTTAAATCATGGAAAATCATTCAGGTCAGTTCTATCTTTTTTCCTACTTCTTTGTTATCTAAACTGGTGTGAACAGTGACAGTAACAATGTATTGCTTGAAAGATTACTGTTTATACATTAAGGTTAGGTCACCAATGCCCACAGAGATAAATATGGATACTGTTTTAGCCTCTTCAATTACCTCAAAGTCCTGTTCATCTTTATGTTCATAGTCTGATTCTGTTACTAAGCGCTACAGTTTAGGAAAGGATTTAAATTGTGTTCAGAGTTAACAACATCGTGGTCCCCTGTAAATCACTAAGTTAAAGCATGTGTATGTACTGAACTGTGCCTGTGAAGGAGTAACTCAGCAAACGTGTAATCCCTGCTGAATGCTGCAGAAGTGACAGAAATACCAGGTTACAATTCTACTGCAGAGAAATCACAGATTAAAGTGAAGCACGTGGGGGAAAAAAAAAAAAAAAAAAGATGCACTTCTGTGCTTCTTGGGCAATGAAACACTGGGGGAAAGGACTACAGTTTTTTTTCTTGTTGGGAACTGCTACTGGATTTCTGGGCAGACTGAGGACTCAGACACAAAACTGTAGTAGGTTCAGGGCTGGCAAAACTATGTGCTGATACATGGCTGGGAAAAGCCTTTGGAAGTCATTGAATTTGTCTTTAAATGAACCTGTGCGCTTTGCTCCCCATATACTGAGAACAGCGAGCTGTAATTATCACTTACGTTTGTGTACTTTTAATGGTTAACTATTCTAAGTATTCATGGGTTGGCATCCCCAGCAGATGGTAGCTGGAAATCTTAAGGAGCATAGAGAGATTAAAAAAAAAAAACCACGCTGAACAAGGATCTGGATTGTGCTTTATGGTTGTTATCCAAGCATTCTTAAAATTAATTTCTAGTGAAACTCTCCCCCGAAATTAAGATCATTTCAGTCAAATGACCATTTCACACATACACTGTCCCTTCATTTATATTAAGGTATATCTTGCCGAATAGGATTTTACTGCATTTTGTATTCTTTTTAAGGGGGGAAAAAAAAAGTAAAATATCACTCAGTCCAAGCTGAAATATTTGAGTACTGGAAAGAAAAAAGGGAGAAATGTTGGGAATTGTGTCAGTCTGCTAGTAGGCTCCTGGCTTACATTCTAAGATGTGTCCTTGATATTTCCCAAGGCAGTGAGTAACCCGCAGCTCTTATTTCCTCCAAGAGCTACCTCCAAGTCTCGCTAAAAGGAGTTTATTTTCTTATTTAGGTGGCAACTTCTAGTTACCCTGATTACACGAGGGCCGTAACTGATGTCAGCACAGCGGTCAGGGATCAGAAGAAAACCCAGCCACCTGCAGCAAACCAGGATCTCGGCAAGACGTGACAGCACGTTTACAGCCAAGCTTATCGTCCAAAACCTCCTCGCGAGGACACAAAGGAGCCGTAAGAACCTGAAGCGGAGGTAAGGCAGCTTTGTGGGACGCATCCCGCGGTGGTTGCCTGCAGCTCACTACGTGTAACGCCGAGCTGCCGGCCCTGCGCGCAGCCCCGCTTACCCGCACGGCCGTGCCGCCCCTCACACACACGCAGGGCGATCCGCTGAATCGACGCCGCCGCTAATCTGCATCATGTAATCCCGCGGCTGCTCTCTGTACGCGGTTATGTAATGCCGCTGTCTATAAAGACGGAACAAAACAAAACCACAGGCGGAATGTTAACAGCCAAGTATTCCAAGCCCCGGCGCGACGGCCGCCCTGACAGAACCCAGCCCAGCCCAGCCCAGCCCAGCCCGGCCCAGCCCGGCCCGGCCCGGCCCGGCCCGGCCCAGCCCAACCCTGGCGGCCCCTCAGCCTGGGCCCGCAGCGCAGCCTGCCGTCCCGCCGCCCTCACCTGCCCGCGGACAGCGACCGCGCGGCGCCTCCCGCCCCGCGGGGACCCAGCGGAGGGGGCGGGGCCACCACCCCTGAGGGGAGGGAGCCACCGCCGCCCCGCCCCGCGCTCTCGCGCCTCACCTTCCCCGGGCCGTAGTACTACGGCTCCCGCCGTTCGCCGTCGCCCATTGGTTCGGCGGCGCCCACGTGACACGGGGCGAGCACGCGCGCGCGCCCCCTTTAAACCGCCTCCTCCTCCTCCCCCTCTTCGCGCCGCGCGCCGTTTCCAAGGCGACCCGGGAGGAAGGGCGGCTGAGCGTGAGCGCGCGCACGGCGTTCCCCTCCGCTCTCCCCTCGCGGTGCCGCTCACGCGCGAGGCGCGCGCCGAGCCCCCGCCGGAGCCGAGCTACGTGATGCGGTGCGGCGCGGTGCGATGGGCAGCAGGCAGCAGGTACGTGCCATGCTCGGACGCGGCCGTGCGCGACGCCGGGCACAACGGGGCCGCCACCGTGGGTCCCGCGGGGCGGGCGGGCCGGCCGGCTCCGTGCGGAGTGGCCGCGCGAGCGGACGGCGCGCCTGGAGCATCTCCACGGCGGGGAAAGTTTGGAGGCGGCGCCTCCCCCCGCCAACTTCCCGCGGCGGGGTGACCGGGGCTGTCCCGGGGCGGGCGGCTGGGCCGCTGCGTTCCGTCGTGCCGCTCGGGGCCCGGGACGGCTGAAGGCGCTCCGCCGTTCACGCAGCGGCGCCGTCGTGCGGGGCAGGGCGAGATCCGCGCCGCGCTGCGGAGCTGTGCGCTGCTGTCACGTTACGAGCTCCGTAGGCCGCTTCTGCTATGCGCGGAGAGTTGTGGGGAGCCCTGCTACGGCGTGTCACGGAAAGGTTGTGTGTGAACAGCGAGTGGACGTGTGGGCTTTGAGTTTGTTGCGCACTGAGTTCAGGACGAGGGCTCGTTGGGTGTCCCCTGTAGGGGTTTCTCGGTTGGTGCTTGCAGCAGGCTGACCTACAAGTTGTGTGTGAAGTAAGGCACGCACCTGAACCCACCGTAACAGCTGTAAGTGATTGTTTATGGAAGGAGCGGCAGGGGCAGAACTCGGTGTGCACACAGCTGTCTGCCTGTACAGGTAATCAGCAGAGAGCTGCGGGCAGCCTCACGGTCCCGGTGCAGGCACCTGCTGTGATGTGGGCTCTGCTCAACAGCCACTGCCTGCTGGTGTGGTGCCTGCAGGCTGCGGTCCTGCCCAGACCAAGGTGAGTGACCTGCACATCCTTGATGTGTTACAAAGCGTTATTGCCTTTAGGGCAACATTAGGGCTCATGTGGGGTGCTGATAGCCAGCGGTTCTCTGGCTCCTGCAGGCAGGTCCATGCAGGCTGTTTGTAAAAGGGCTGATGCTGGTCAGGAGTACCACAGGTGTTGGGCTGCATGCGGCTGTGCAATAAGGCTTTGTGGTTAACGCTCTGCAGCTGTTATCTCTTGGAGGGGAAACAACTACGACTTGATCCTGTGAATGAGGTCTGTGCTGTGAGTAGAGAAAGGAAGGAGTGCCTCTCACTTGCGGAGGGTGCTGGATGAGAAGCATATGTGTGCTGCTCCCAATGTGCTGTGTTTCCTGAGTGCTGCTAGGGAATGTTCACTATCAGCAAAGAGGCACTGCAAGCAGGGAGCCCGTGTTCCTGAAGCAGTGTGTGTGCACACTCATTTCTGCATGCTTTGAAAAGAAGCGGGGTTCCTGCAGCCCTGTTCTGGTGCTTCCTATCCAGGTGGGAAGTTGCTGTCCCCTGTTGTGCATAAGGAGTGTTCTTTCTTGGGAGGCTGGGAAGAGGTTTAAGTTGTGAGTAAAGTTGGGTGCTGTCAGCATGCTGTGAGCACGCTCTGCACAAGAGCAGACAATGAGAATGTCTCACAGGAGTGTGCATGCAGTTCTGAGTGCAGACTGGGAACAGTGGGTGAGAGGAAGACCTTGACTCCAGCTGTTTCACAGGAAGGTCAGTAAGAAAATCAAGACATGAGCTATGTAAGCTTGCAGTGCAAGTGCCAACAAAAGCTGCTGCTCAGCTGAAGTGCTTCCAGACCATGGCTGACTGCAAATGCAGAGCACAGTGCACAGTGTAACTGTTGTCCCCATCACTGTGTTCTCAAAGGTCAGTTGGGTGTGAGTTCTGAAGGTTCTCTGTGGCAGCCACAAGCAGCTTTCTGCTTTGTCTCTGCTTGCTCCAGGTGCTGCTGTGCACTGCCCTAGGCTGGGTCCAGCAGGGGCTCCACAGTCGGGCTGGCCAGCAGCCTGCTGACAGCTCCATCTCCGGCAGGCTGCACGCTGCAGCTGCTGACTCTGCAGCAGTATTGCATCACAGGTTGCTGCTTCAATTGCTCTGTGCTGGAAGTGAGATTTCAAGCATGGTCAGGAATGTGGTTTCACTGTAATTAATGTGATTTCCTCTGGACTGGGAGAAAATGGATTGCCCTCTGAGACCCTGGTAAGATTGAAGTTTACCTCTAATTTATTATCATTATTCATTTAGATTATTGTGTTACCCGTCAATAGAACAGTAATGAACTAAATCATGTTACTTAGTGTAACACCAATCTGCATGCACTCTCTATGCATGCAACAAATGATGTGTACTGTCTGCATAGTACTCAACTCATCTGCTGGACTCTGGTGTTCCTTAACGGGCAGTACTTCATCCTTATGCACACTGCAGAACCACTGTTGCTGTAAGAGAGTGAGCTGGAGTCTTTTTTGTCTTGTATTATTGTTGAAGAGTCAACGCAGTGCTATTTGCAGAGCCTTTGCTTCTGGATCATGCGTGGAGAACTCATGGCCTTCCTCCCTTCTGTCCCTGCAGGTCCTATCTGGATTTTGCACACTGTTAGATTAGGTGACAGTGGTCCTGGTGGGTGTAATAACACGAGGAGTGAGTTTGTGCTCTGTAGGGTTGGAAAACAGAGAGTGGGTTTTCATTGTTGTGTAGTGGGGTGGACATCATCGTGCTTGGTGAACTTCCAGCTTCAAGTGGAGCACAATAAACCTTAGTTGATCACCATGTGGAATAACTTGTCCTGTGACTTTGGCTCCAGAGGCTCCCAGTGGTGAGCTTTAAGTCTTTTTTTTTTTTTGCCCAACAAAGTCTTCAATGGAGGTTAAGGCTGAGTGGGACAGTGGGAGGTTTCCTTCAGTCCACCTATTGCCTGCAGTTGGGTTTTGGCAAGGCAAGTGCTGTGTGTTAGGGTTTAATTCCATGTTTTGTTATATGGTCGCTATTGATTATGTATAGGTGATCCTGTCCGAGTCATTGGCGTTGTGTGAGTGATGAAAGGCAGGCTCTTGTGAACCCAAAGCAAGAAGGGAATTTGAATGGTACTTAACTAAGCAGGATAACATGCATCTGCTTAGTTTTTTATTAAAAACTGTATCTTAAGCATGAATTAAAACTACACTTTAAAACGTTCAGATACTTGGATTGCTAAACCTAAGACCTGTCAGTCAGCAAATGTCTGGCTGAGGGTTGCAGAAGCTTAGTTCTGCCTGTGTGAGCCATCCTGTGCACTGAATGAGCCAATGATTTGCAGGAAAATTAGTATGCAAACGTAACTGTTAACCTCCATTTGCATTAATCATCTTTTTAAGTCATATGCTGTTCTAAATATGATGCTTCCTAATTTTCCAGAGTTGAACTCCAAACCAAAATAACTGCCTTGCAAATTAGTTTCTGACATGGAACCTCTTCGTATTGTTTGTGTTTCTAAAAGGATATTGTACAGATGTTAAGGTGAGCCACAGAAGGTGAACCACAAGTGGGATTCCAGTCCTCAGCATTGACTGTAATTCATGCAGTTGCCTCTTTGGGTAAGGTGTTATTTTGTGGGTGAAGCTGGAGCTCTGTCCAGGAAAATGAGAGCTGATGTCTGACCTGTTTCCCTGTCCCTCTGCTGCTTTGTATGTCTGCCTCAGCAGCCCTGCAGTGTTTCATGGCCCCTTTTGCTCCTGCTCTGCCCGAAGCGTGGGTATGCATGGCTTCTGTGTCCAGGGGCTGCCAAATAATTAAGAAAAGCAAGCAGCCATAGGAAAACAGTTCAGTTTTGCTTGAATGGATTGCCGTGAGACAGCGTCTGTGCTTTTCAGGGAACTTTAAAGGCTGCCTGCAAACCAGGGAAGTGTCAGAGCTTGTCAAAAAGCTGTGGCTCTCGTTCTTACAGTGACTTAACAGTGTTATGTGGCTGTTAGTAAAGTGTACCTACCAGCTTTTGCCACTGAGATGATGAGAGTTTATCTAGCATAATAGCAAAACTCAGATTTTATTAAAGTGAGTGCGACTTGTGCTGCTGACTTGTTTTAGTACTTCTGTACCCCTATCAAATTTCTCATAGAAAATGCATCACCGTGGAGGTGATGATCTGAATTTCAAGCAGGCTGTCTGATTGTGAACTGCAGGGCTCCTATGTGTGTGTTAATGAGTGTTACCAGACAGCCCGGATGTAAGCGTGAGGTGTGTGATGTCTCAGCAGTGCACAGCCCGTAGCTGCTGGTGTGTAAGAGCTGCCTGGGTTTTACAGCCCTTGTCTAATAAATTGTCACTTTTTATCAGGAATGATAAAATTAGCTTTGAAACCAGCGTTTGAAGAGGAAAGTGAGATATGGGGCACAGTTTGTTTGCTAACTCATGCAAAGGTCTTAAAGGCAACTTGGAAGATTTTTCTTGCATGTATTTACTTCTTTTTTCTGTTACCAGCCACCACTTCTAGCAATATGAATGCTCTTTTTTTTTTTTTGTTTTCTTTGATTTTAAGAAGTCAATCCTGAGCAGGGAGCAGTAACATAATTCAATATACATTGGAGCTTTGGAGGCTGTTATTTCTGAGGCTAGTTCAAAGGGCAGGAACTCCTCAGAGACACGATGTGGCTGGCTGGTTTCCTTCAACTGAAAGAGCAATGCAGCGCTTAAGTAGCATCCCAAGTTTGTGTAAAAGCTTTTGACACGTTATCTCTGGGCAAAAAGAAATGTGGAGGAGGTTGTGGAGTGGGCACAGCTGAACCTCTTGGCAGTGCATTGGGAAAAGCCTCTGCTTCTCTGGGCTTGACCCTGCATATAGT